GCAAGGGCACCGTGAAGAAAATTTGGATTTTTTTTAATATTTACATTTGTATTTGTCTAATTAAACTTTCATTTAACTATTTAAAATTTTAAATGTTTAATATGACCTTTATTAATTTATTTATTGAATCAATTTTTTAAACTATTTATACTATATTAACTATTTACATTTAAATATAAATTTTTAATTAAAAATTTGTACTCCAATCATAAAATATGAGGTAATCTTTTTCCTCAAACTTTTAAATACTGAAATAAATGTTTTATAGCAAACACTTTCTTATTTATAATTAAATTTATGTATTTATGCTAATAAATTAATGTTTTGTTTTTGTTAAAGGTATTATTATTAATTTAAAATATTAAAAAAATATTAAATCCATAGAAGAGGATTTGTAAAATAAATAAATAAATGAGGAATATAAGAAATTACAAATACATGAAATGGATTTTTAACATAATCATTTATTTTAAGTTTTAAATTATATGAATAATTATTTGTAATTTTTAATCAAATTCTGGCTTGATTTCAAGTTTTGTTAAAATATTTTTGGGAATATTACTCTTATCATTATTATTTTTTATTTTTTTTAAAATAAATAACTAATTTATCAAAAATAATAAAAAATTGTTAAATATCATAAATATGTAGTGTATTCTAAAAAATTCATAATAATCAATATCAAATTAGTAATTTATACATTAAATAAATGAATCTATTCACTTTTATAATAAACAAGTGTTTTGTTAAAAGCGATTTACTTGTAAAGCAAGCGTCCGCTTTTACTGAATAAAATATTAAAACATACCTTAACATCTTCTAACTTAAAATATATATAAGGATGAGATGTGACTTGTAATCAAGAAAACTAAGCCTATAATAACACAATGGTTGATGTTTAGAATGATCATAAAGGGTTAACTATGATTATAATTTTATTTCAAGTAAAATAGTGAGGAATTAAAGGTAGTTCTAATAGTGGTGGTGAATATACTAAGTTTATAAGAAGTAATGAGATGATAGAAATAATAATTTTGCTAGTAGGCTTGATTAATGATAATGATAATATGAGGAGAGAATATATGACATTGAAAAATGATATGATGATGGTTTAATAGGGAAAGCATGGTAAAACATGATAATGAAGGATAAGTTTACGATAATTTGTGATTGAATTATAACAGTGCAGTTATAATAAAAATTTATATAATAATTGATATTGTGGTTTGAAGTTTAATAGATGTTACTTTGAGTAATGAGGCATAGAAATATTTGAAAGTAATTATAAAAATCGATATTTAAGTATATCTAACTTCATATAAGAATTTTTATTACAGTGGTTTATCCGATGTGAAACTACTTTTAATTTTTTTTAATATGTTAAAAAAATTAAGATTATTGTTGAACAAGCTGTCGAAAAAAATGCAAAGAAAAATTATGAGAAAATTTGCATCGTTCTATCTTATAACAATGCTAATTTATTTGGGCTAAATTTTATATATATATATAGCATTTTTCACAGATCCACTGCAAATGCATGCACCTACTAATCTGTTCATTAGCAAATGCTATAAAATCATTACTTTAATCATTCACAGGAATGACCACAGTAGTAACATCAAATCTTACATGCAATAATTAAGTGCAAGGATTTCTTATTTTATTAATAGGACATCAATAATCACCGCACGTTCTTACACCATTTTGATACCATGTTAAATTTTAACAATTTCCCCGTGTTATTATGAGAGTACAATTAAAATAAACAAATATTTGAGAGGTTATTTTTCTTTTATATATATATATATATATTTTAAAATATAATAGGAATAACAATTTTAAAAAATAAGCACAATATAAATTATTCAACATGATATATAGGGCGCGCGCACACACATTAAGAATAACCATAACTAATATAAAATATTGATGAGATCCATCAACTTAACAAAGTTTAAAATCTCGGCCTTTTTAATATTGAATAAAATACCAAAATCTAAATTGATTAATTAAAGAACCTCTAATCATATTGACATTCACACCTTTTTTAGATTTTCACCTTTAACCGACTCACGAGTAGGAATCAAAACTGACCAGGTCAAACCAGACTTTACTCTAAACAGGCTTGACCTGTAACATAATTATTAGGTCTGAGTCTGGCCTGTTACATGTTAAAGGCTTTAGTTTAGGCCTAACCTGACCTGACCTGAAGCCTATTAACAAAACCTGTTAAAAAAAATTAATATTAATAAAAATATAAATATTTTATTATTAAATTAGTTTATACATTTTTCTAATTTTTATCTATGTTCTTAATAATTATTAAATAATTATAATAATATTTATATAATTTTATAAATAATTTTTAAAATATTATTTAAGTATTAATTAGAAATATTTTATATTAATAAAATTTATATTTATATATTTTTTTATTTTTTAAAATTATATAAATAGTAAATATTTTAGTTTTATTTTAGAAACATATTTTGTTTATTTAAAGACATCTTATATTCAACAAATAAAGTTATAGTAAATACATAAAATTGATAAAAAAAAATAACATTCACACAGTTTGTTGAATCAATTAAAAGAAAATTATATGTTTAAAAAAAATAAATTTAAACTTACTGCAATATATATATATATATATAATGAAAATAATAATAACTATTAAATTAAAAAAATAATTACAAAAAATAACACTTATAAAATTTATTGAATCAGCTAAAAAAATTATTATATTTTAAAAAGTAAATAAATATTGTCATTATAAAAATTGTAGATGATAAATACTTATATTATAAAATTTATAGATACAGAAAAATAACATATGAACATAGGAAGAATTATTAAAATTTATATTTAAATTAAAATAACTTATATTTCTAAATTTTTATCTTAATTAAAAAATATGTGATAAAACTTGATATAAAAATTTAAACTTAATGTACTATATATATATAAAATGAAAACAATAATAACTATTAAATTAAAAAAAATTACAAAATATTTAATTTTATTTATCTCATTAATTTATTATTTTAAATTAACAAATAAATGTAAAATTAACTACACTATAATATTAATGTAATATAGAAAATACTACTGATACAATAAATTAAAACACATACTTATAAATTACATATAAATTGATAAATTGACTAATAATTTAATTAAAACATGTGCAAGTTATAAAAATATATATTATTATATAATTTATTTATAATTATATTATTTATATTATTTGCTACATGGTCTGATTATATATATATATATATATATATATTAATATATATTATAATAAGTTTTTTATTTTATTTTGTTATCATTTTTTTAATAAATTTTTACTTTCAAATAAAATATAATTCAGATTTAAGCAATCTCTATTTATTATAAATAAAAAGAATTATAACATAATATATTAATATAATAATTAAATAATTAAATTAATAATAATAAAATTAAGAATATAAAAAATATGTTAATATAATTCTATTATTTTATTTTTAAATTTTATTTTGTTTAATTTTGATTACGTCTTATTCCTATTCAAAGACTTAACTATTTTTTAAATTGTTTAAATATAATAATTTATTATTAAATAAATTTATTATTTAAAAAGTGTAATTATGTATAAATATTTTTAATTTTTAATATAATATAATTTCTGTTTATTATAATTATAAATAAATAAAATTATAACATAATATATTAATTTAATAATAACAGAATTAAGAATATAAAAATATATTATTAAATATATTTTGATAGCTCTATTTTTAAATTATATATATATATATATATATATATACAGACCGGCCTGTCAGGCTTAACGGGCTTTATAAACAGTTCAGGCTTAACTTGTTTACTTAAACAGGCCTTAAAAAAGGCTGACCCTAATTTGTTTATTAAAAAAGTCAGGACAAGTCAGACCTAAACCAAGTCAAGTTACAGGCTCCTGTTAGGCAGTCTGACTTGTTAAGTCAGGACAGGCTAGGCCTAAACCAGGCCAGGCCACAGGACTCTGTTAGGCAGCCTAGCCTGTTTCCATCCTTACTCACAAGGTACATACAATCTGCCTTATAATCAGAATGATAAAAGAATAAATGAAACTCAACCAAGAGTATTATATAACATTAAGGAGTACACTTGAAACAATATCTTGCAAGAAAAATGTGTCGTATTGATTCTTGCTGATCGTTGCATCAGAGGCACCTCAACAAATTATGGTAAAAAAAATACATTCCTTTTTTCTTGAAATTCTATCAATATATTAAAAAAAAAAAGAGACTGTTTACACCTCATGAAGTATATACACCTAGTCAAGAATAAAAAAAAAAGTTAAGATTTTGTGAAGTAATATAATGTGACAAAAAGAAAGTAAAATAAAGGCAGAGATGTACATAGTTATAAAAATCAAAACTCAGCCAAACTCCTGAATTTTATTACGTCCTTTCAAACACTGAAGTCATACTGTTATTTTTATTTTCCATTGACCTGCAGCCTTTTCACTGGTAAATAACGCAGACCTTTGACATTTCATATTGGTTAATTAGTTTGAGGAACTTTAACTTTAATTTTATTTTTCTTATTATTGAACCAGCATCTTACTAATCGTTCAAATAACGCAGATCTTTGTCTTATAAGTTAACACGATGCTGGTTCAATAAAAAGAAAAATAAAAGCTTCAACAGTTCATTCATCATCATAATTATTTGAACGATTAGTAAGATGATTTGTAAAACTCATGATTTGGCAACGAAGAAAATTCACGGCCTGCGCTAGTCCCCTTGGTGACCTCACTGCGTGCGATATAGCTAGCAATTGCATGCCCGTTTCTTGCTCAACACGAAAATATTCCATTATACATTTACATTCATGTATTAACTATATATATCCTCAAGTCCTCAATTGGTTCCTCATTACAAATTTATATTCAGTTCATTTATAAAAGCACTTTATATTTCATCAACCTGTTCTGCATGCAAAACGACATCATGTCGAACATGTTAGTAAGAGAAGAAAACGAAAAAATTGGTGCTTATGGGTTGGCTGCTAGAGACACCTCTGGAATTCTCTCTCCGTTCCACTTTACCAGAAGGTATTAGAACACTTTTGAATTTGCATCGATCCGCTTCAAAATAAAACCAACTTACGAGAAGCACTGAATTTTTGTATTCTTGAACAAACAGGGCAAATGGGGATAATGATATCACCCTCGACATCCTCTATTCTGGAATTTGCCACTCAGACCTCCACATGGTGAAGAACGAGTTTGGAATGTCCATCTATCCAATGGTTCCTGGGTATTATTCTTTGATTTTCTATTGTGACCCGCCTAATTTTTTGTAAAGATCTTCATTTAAAACTAATTTTCACTTAAGTTTTTATCCCTTATATCCTTACTTTTATTTACTTTTACTTTTAGAGCGAGTTTATATCTAAAATAAAAAGGTATGAAAAATTATTTATTTTTACATTAATTTAAAGTGGATATAACTTCTTGCTTTCTCATTTTATCAGAAAATTTGGAGGAGCTCTTTTCGTTCATAATCTCTTTTTTAGTAATGCTATAATGAAATCTAATGTGAATCTACCAAGAGCTCTATTTTATTTCAACTACTTTTTAACCACATTAGGGCAAATAGTTGGACACTTTTAATTAACAAAAATCCCTTTTAATGTAAAATCTACCTTCATAAAATGTTCTATAAGCAGGAATTGGACCATCTACTTTACTTATGGACTAGATATTTTCATGTCACTTTCGAAGTTTGAACCACATCTAACAGATTTTCTTTCCTATTGATTGGGAACACATTTAGGCATGAGATTGTGGGTAAAGTGACAAAGGTGGGTAGCGGAGTCACAAAATTCAGTGTTGGTGACATAGCTGGAGTCGGTGGCGTTGTGGGTTCGTGTGGCTCATGTTCTGACTGCAACAAGGGCTTTTATGTATACTGCCCAAAAATGATTTTAACCTACAGTGCCCAGTACCATGATGGATCAATAACCCAAGGTGGATACTCAGATAAGCTAGTGGTTGACCAAAACTTTGCCGTGCTAATCCCCAAATCACTGCCACTAGATGGTGCAGCCCCGTTGCTATGTGCTGGAATCACAGTGTACAGCCCATTGAAGTATTATGGGCTTACTCAGCCCGGATTGCACTTGGGTGTGGTGGGCCTGGGAGGCCTAGGTCATGTGGCTGTCAAGTTTGCTAAGGCTTTTGATATGCGTGTCACTGTAATTAGTACTTCTCCCATCAAGAAGAAGGAAGCATTGGAAAAGCTTGGTGCCGATTCATTCTTGGTCAGTCAAGACCAACAACAGTTGCAGGTATAACTAACAAACCAACTAGTTCAATCCTTTTTATCAAATGCAAAATTGTTTTTTTATTTTTTTGCACACTTAGTATGTGTTTCCTCTACATTTTGAAATGTATTTGTAGGTACACATGCGTAAAAAATAGAAGATCAAATTAATTTTTAGTGGTTGAAATAACAGATTTTATTAAATAGTAATCAAACAAAAATAATGCATGAAATGAACAACATCTAACTAGTCAATATCTGTGCTTGATTAATTAGGATGCCATGGGCACAATGGATGGCATTATTGACACAGTTTCAGCTAATCACTCGGTCCAATCACTAATTGGTTTGTTGAAAACAAGTGGAAAGTTGATTTTGGTGGGTGCACCAACCATGCCTCTTGATGTATTAGCTCTGCCCTTGCTTTTGGGTAAGTCTCCCTCTAATTATGGTTATTAATTAATTATGACACTTCAATCATCCTACAACTGATTTGTATAAGGGAAATTAAATCTTGTATAATTGAAAGTGTCCTTTTTTACATATAGGGAGAAAGATGATTGCTGGTAGTGCAGGTGGGGGGAGGGAAGAAATGCAAGAGATGATGAATTTTGCAGCAACACACAATATTACGGCGGATGTGGAAGTTATTCCGATGGACTACGTGAACACTGCTTTTGAGAGACTAAAAAACAATGATGTTAAGTATCGCTTTGTCATTGATGTGGCAAATAGCATAAACTGCATGTCCAATTAGACAGCCACAGATATGAGTGGTATAGGAAACTTTAACGTTATTGCAATAATCTAAATAAATTCTAGTTCTATCTAGGCGTTACATAGATCATTAGCAAGAACACTCATTTATCTATTTTTAATTTTAAGTATAATTTTTAAATAAAATATAGTGTCGTCTTTGGTCATTATTGAAGGAGTTTAAATTCGATACACGCTTTGTTAGTCTACCTATTTTTTTATTTTTTTTTACATTATGTGATTCAATGATAATATCTAAACATCGATAAAAAGTTAGGCTTTCTAGTCAAACTTCTTTAATGATTTAACAACATATGATTAGACAGTGACATTAAAAATGTTTCAATTAAAAGTCGATCAAAATCAATTTGTTATTGCCTTTGAATAAAAGATATTTTACCTTTCACAAATGCGGTCGCTGTTCTCAGTAGAGTTATCTATTTGAGGTAAGTTATTGCGAGCAAATACACTTTTAAGGTAAATTAATGTTGTTATGGGTTGATAATTTCGTAATCTAATATAATCTTTTTATGGGCTAATAGTCAGGTGAGATGATCCATTGAACCATCCCCACACCCCTCTAATATGGTCATTGCTTTTAGCACCATTTTTTAGAAATTGAATTCTAGAAATAATTTTTAAAATTTAATATATGGAATTAAATATCTTTTAGAATTTTATTTTAAAAAATAAAATTTACTGTAATTATAAAAAGAGGGGGGAGAGAGAAAAAGTTAAAGCCTCCCAATTTCACTTTAATTAGTACGTTATTACCCTAAATGTATCCAAAAGCGTGGAGGGGCTACAGTAAAAGCACAATGGAGATGTTTGTTTCTTGTCTCAATAGCCTAACTAATTTTGACTCAAATGGAGTTACTTATAAATTAAAATTTTTAAATCTAAAAACCCACTTTTTGGTTAAGGTATTCATAATGCAACGCAAAAAGAAAAGTCCAATTGACTGAATTTTATTTCTAGTTTTTGTAGTCTATTTTACGTGTAATTTTAATTTCTTATGCTTAATTCTCATAGCTTGTTATTGTTAAAATTAAATTTTTAATCTCAAAATTTTATTTAATAATTAATAAAAATATAACAAAGATGTGATATATCATAAAGTTTTATTTTAAGATGTGATAAAAAGTTTATGTATAATGAATTTTTATTAAAATATAAATTATCATACGATTTAATACATTAATAATATTACATTTTATAATCTTTTAAAAAATTTCAAAATTTTAATTTTAATTATATGCTCTTATACACATGTTAGAAAAGTTATATTATTAATATCAGCGTAATAGTAGAGATATTTATTAACTGTTTTACCCCCTTCTATGCATGAACGAAATTACTTTATCTTTAACTTTTGGCATATTAAAAAGTGGCGAAGCTCAAGTCAATAAATAGAGACTCTATAGAGATTTATAGAGAAAGAACAAAAGTCTATATTTGCGAAAGCGAGAATAGTAGGGAGAATCAGACTCGTCGTACATGAATTTTAGTACCAAAATTCGTCAAATGGTTAAGAATGTGTACAACAGACGACATTTTTCGCACAAGGTATGAAGTTTTTAAAATAAATATATTTCGAATCCTAAAGTCGAATTTGTAAATGAACAAAAAGTTAGGGGGGAAAGTTGTAATTTTAATTATTTTCTATCCAATGGAAAAGAAAAGCCAAGATATTGAATATATAATACTGCACATGAAATTCCTACTCAGTTTTCATATAACAAAAAAAATTGTTGGCAATTTGACGGATGTCGTCAATGCCACAATACATGTGAAATATAGTTTTCATTATTCGAGACGTAACATTACAAATATACATAATACAGATCGAAATAGGAAATTCCTTGACATATATGGAAGGCTGAAAGCTAATACATTTTTCTCTCATTACCCTTTAGCTAATGGTTTATTTATTCTAAGAAATGTTAACCACGAATTCATGAACTTGGTTTCATAGTGTTTCCAATGTCAATCACAAATCTATATTTAACATCTGCTTTAAGTAGGCGTTCCATTGCTGTGTTGACATAATCCATAGCAATGACTTCAATGTCAGGTTTTATATTGTGTTCATAAGCAAAATCAATCATCTCTTGGGTCTCCTTCATCCCTCCAATGCCACTCCCAGCTACTATCTTTCTTCCTGTCAATAATTGAAATTAAATACTTGTTAGTATCATAAAGCCGATTAAAATTTTCAAATTTGCATGCATCTACAATTTACACTAAACCATCCTCGTGTAGCATCACGTGTTTCTTGTACCGTGCATCCTAAGGAAATAATAAATTTTCGTAATAAGCTTACCCTGAAGTAAAGGAAAGACCGGCAGCTCAAGAGGCTTCTCTGGTGCACCAACTAATACAAGCTTTCCATGAGACTTGAGTAAACCAATCAGAGGTAAGAGAGGATGAACAGCAGAAACTGTGTCAATAATACCATTAAAAGTTCCCTTTGCACCCTACAACATTATCAACAATATGTTACTTTTTATTTTATTTTATATATATCGTTGTCAAATGTCAATTTCAGAGAGGAATATATTCACACTTCAAATTAATAAAATAATGCATGGCATATATATACCTGCATCTGATCTTGGTCACGGCTTAAAAGAAAAGAATCAGCTCCCAAACGTTGTATTGCTTCCTCCTTTTTGTTGGGTGATGTACTGATTGCTGTCACCTTAACCCCAAAAGCTTTGGCAAACTTGACGGCCATATGACCAAGCCCACCAAGACCAACCACACCCACATGAAGATTAGGCTTGTCAAGTCCAAAATATCTCAAAGGGCTATACACTGTGATCCCAGCGCAAAGGAGAGGAGCAGCAACATCAAGAGGTAAGCCATCAGGAATGCGAACCACAAAGTGTTCATCTGTAACCATTAAGTCAGAGTAGCCTCCGTATGTGACTGTGCCATCTCTATATTTGCCACTATATGTGAGCGTATATTGTGAACAATAATTCTCAAGATTGTCAACACAGTTTTGGCATGTGCCGCAGGAGTCAACTATGCATCCCACACCCACCTTGTCCCCAACTTTGAACTTTTGAACTTTGCTGCCCACCTCTGTCACTACACCAACTAGCTCATGCCTGCATCATTTCTTACACTAATTAGAATATCAAATTATAATTGAATTTGTCCCTTGATATTACAGTTTATTTTTTTTATTAAAAAAAAAAAAAAGAGCCGCCTTGTGAAACATATATGACTGGTTGGTTTAGCTTCACATCCAGAAATTGATAGAATTACAATAAGCATTGGTACATATAAAAGCAAAATGTATACCCTGGGACTAATGGATAGATTGAAAAGCCCCATTCGTTTTTCGCCATGTGGAGGTCTGAGTGACATATCCCACAATACAATACTTTGAATGCCACATCTTTTTCACCCGTTTCCCTGGAAATTTTTCGAAGTTAGTACCAAGCAAATGTAATCGTTACTAACGTGGTATTTTTAATGAAAAGATGCATCGAAGGAGGAGAAGAGGGAACCTTCTGGAGAAATTGAAAGGGGAGAGAACACCAGAAGGATCCCTTGCAGCCCATCCGAAAGCCTTCTTAGGATGCTCAGTTTCGTGTTGTGTTGCCATTTCAATTGTGTTATGTTTCAGTTAGAAAATAATTTGAAGAATGTATCTTTGTGAGTGAAGGGAAGGATGAGTAAGTATGGAAGTAGCAGCAAGAGCGGTGGCATTAATTTATAAGTGCATGGTGAGGGTTATATTGACGTCTTTGGTGACGTTATTGATGCCTTAGGTGACGACGTTGCAAACTTCACCACCTTTAGTTATTGCCCGTGTCAAAGGTATCGGGCAGAAGGGATGTTTGACTTGCAAACCAAGCTATCTTAGAAAAATACAAGTTTTTTTCTCTTACCAACCACGTCTGCAAATATACAAATTTGATCAAACGAGTTAAAAGTTATAAATTTGTAACTTTTATTTATAAAGTCAATAAAAATGTATGTACTTGTAGTTAAAAGTGTATAAATAATTTATGAATTGAAATTGTTTGACAAAGTAATTATTCAATTGGCTAATTTTTATTAAATAACTTAAAAAGACATAATATTATGTTAATATAATATTAAAATTAATTATTATTTATTTTATTTATTTACAAAAATAATTAAAAATACATTTATATATATATATATATTTTAACATAAAATATTTTAAGTTATGTATTTTTTAATATAATATATATTTGAATAAAAAATAGAAGAGAAAATAAACAAAATGAAGAAAATAAAAAAATTAAAAGTATTGTGAAAGTGAAAAGAATAAAAATAATTTATGTGCTTTTTGATTAACAGATAAATTATTATTTTAAAAAATAAAAAGTAAAAATGTAATAAAATCATTGATAACTACTTTTTAAAAATTAAACACTACTTTAAATAATTTTTAAAAAATTAACTTTTAAAAATAATAAGTATTTTATTTTATATTTATCATCTTCTTGAACAATGTACTAAATAGCTTGTGGACATCTTTTAATGAGATTTTTGTTGGGAGAGTGAGAATCTAGTAATCTAGTTGTTATCTCTCTCTCTCTCTCTTTTTTTCTTTCTTTCGTTTCTTTAGAAGACAGAATATTTGAAATATCGACCTGGGACGTTGTATTGTACGAGATAAATGTTATATTTTAGTTTATTGATCTGTTCGTTGATGTAATTATTTGTTGGCAATTCTTTTGTTTATAGGTGCTTCACCTCAACATCTTTTAAAAAAAAAACATAAAAAATAATCCAAGTTTACCTATTGGATGAGCAATGAGTAGCTGAGAATATTCGTTCAACATCCCTGTTTAGTTATTCGAGTAAAAAACTAGAATACTGAAAAGGTCTTGTCTTCTTTTCCAAGCCAGCAGCCTCTCGATGTACAATGAGTGTTTGCTAAACACCGTATACTATATATATATATATATATGTATGTGTGTGTGTGTTTGTGCGCGCGCGTATGTATATCCTAAACTTGAACTCCTCATTGTCCTCTCCAAATAATATATCATCTCACGTATTCCATTATAAGCCTCCCTTTCCTCTGTTGATTTGATGCACTGTCACTATGGCAAACGTTTCCTCAGATCGAAAGGAAGTACCTGCCTATGGGTGGGCTGCTAGATACTCCTCCGGAATTCTCTGCCCTTTCCGCTTCTCCAGAAGGTAACTTTGTGCATGCCTATAGCTTATAATTTAAAGATTAGGAATCATTTTAAAAAATTTATAATCAATTTATGGATATAGTTTATGAGTTTCGTAACTTTTTGTTGTAGTTTATTTCAATAAATATTCAATTAAGTTGTGTGTGTGTGTATATATATACACATACCATCAAACTTCGTTTTTTTCTGGGGCATAATAATTTTTTTTCTAAACTCCGTTTTGTACAAGCCTATTATCGTACAAAGATATATAATTTTATATTTGAAGAAAACAAATTTTGAAGTAGCGAAAGTCAATCTCTTAACTGTGTCGTAATAGAAAATCTTACGCCATAACTGTATTCTACCTAACAGTTCTTCCTCAATTCATTGTCTTTGTTGAACTTACAGGGCAAATGGAGATCGTGATGTCACCATTAAGATACTCTATTGCGGGATTTGCCATGCGGACGTTCATCATGTCAAGGATGAGTTGGGCCATAACATCTATCCCATTGTTCCCGGGTACCTTTCTAGCTAATAATTCTTCTTCATCCAAAAGATATTTCTCAGCTTAATTGCATGTGTCAATTACAAACCACGGAAATATCAACAACATATCTTTTATTATATTTTTTTGTTACTATCTAACATTGATTTAAATTATAAAAAATTATGTGAATCTTGATTCTTACACATAATAATTTTCAATAAATTAAACCAACAAATAAGAGTGTATTCATGTGAATCCTCTTACAAACAATGCGCGTGCACTATGTTTTTCTGTTCCTTAAATAACGGGGAAAATATTCTAGGCACGAGATTGTGGGTGAAGTGATAAAGGTGGGTGGCAGTGTCACAAAGTTCAGAATTGGCGACATAGCAGGTGTGGGACCAATTTGTGGTTAATGTGGTTCGTGTTCTAACTGTAGCCAAGGCTTGGAAAGTTATTGCTCCAAAAAGATTTTCACGTATAATGCTCATGACCATGACGGATCAGTAACCTACGGTGGATACTCAGATAGGATAGTGGTTAATGAGCACTTTGCAATCCTAATGCCAAAGGGGTTACCACTAGAAGGTGCAACCCCACTGCTTTGTGCTGGAATCACAGTGTACAGTCCCATGATGCACCATGGTTTGTGTCGACCTGGCCAGCACTTGGGTGTGGTAGGCCTAGGTGGTCTTGGCCACGTGGCAGCCAAATTTGCTAAGGCTTTCAATATGAAAGCCACAGTTATAAGTACTTCTCCTGGGAAGAAGGAGGAAGCATTGGAAAGGCTTGGTGCAGACTCATTCTTGCTCATAAATGATCAACAACATTTACAGGTAATCAGAAAGAAAAAAAAACCAATGAAATTTTCGTTTTGAGAAATTTAATTAGAGTTAAAAAATATCTGTCGAATAAATTATAATTAATTATAGTGTTGGTCTAATACTCTAATTGTTTGTTTGCTTGTTCCTCAGGAAGCCAGGGATACAATGGACGGCATCATTGACACTGTTTCAGGCCCTCATTCACTATACCCATTAGTTGATATTCTGAAGACAGGTGGAAAATTGATTTTAGTAGGTGCATCAATTACTCCTCCTGAATTGCCATATATGGCCTTGATGTTGGGTAAGTTTAGTTGTAATGATTTATGATATGCATTTAGTTATATTTCTATCTTAGAAGATATCTTGCAGGCCAGCTTAAATAGATTAATGAAAATTTATCTATAAAAATGTAAATAAAAACTTGATATAATATTTTAATTTTACATATCAGCCCACTTAACATGGAATTACTTGCTCTGTGGAGTAATTAGACAAATATATATGATTGAATATATATATATATATATATTTAAATACAGGGAGGAAGATAATTGCTGGGAGTGCTGGGGGAGGGATGAAAGAGAGCCAAGACATGATTGATTTTGCAGCAAAGCACAATATCACAGCAGATATTGAGGTTATTCCCATGGATTATGTGAATGCTGCTTTAGAGAGAGTAGAAAAGAATGATGTTAAATACCGCTTTGTCATAGATGTAGCCAATACGCTTGACGTCTCTCATGTTAATCAGAAATATGCAGATGAAGAGAGTGAGACAGGGGGAAATTCAAGTCTCTATCATTTTCGCCAGAATGATACCAACGTTTACTCATATACCTGATTTCTATAAGCAATTTTCAAAATAGAAAAATAAGGTTGGTAGCTTAGCATGCAATTTAGGTTATAATGCATTCGTGATAAGTTCTTCGTCTAGCAATAAAAGGAAAGTATCGTTGAATTGGGACCAAATACTATGTTAAATAAATAACCTTTCCACATATAGTTGATCAATATTTTCTTCAAGGGCTTGCTGTATTTGGCTTCGCTCAATCTTTGCTTTTCAATTAATTAGTGACAGATTAAGGAAAGGGTTGTGATCATGTGGCAAAGCTACATTCTACATGCACATTTATCATTGCAAAAAAAGCTAGTTGCCAAATATGTCCAAATCAATTAGGTGATCCGTGCGTATCAGTAAGTGTCTGAGAATGGTTGTAATCAATTACATAATTGTTAATGTAATTAATTAGGAGTATGTTTTTATTCACTTTCATATGTTTATTATCACATTTATTTTAAAAAATATTTTAAATAGAAATTATTTAAATTAAAATAATTATAAACACTTGAAATTAATAATTCACACATTCTTCAGCGAGGATCTCTTGGGTTATCTTGAACGCTTCAATTTAAAGTGCAACGAGAAAGGTGTCACCAATGGCCCACAGCATATTAAATCAATTTTCTTAGGTGAGAGAGCCCATTCGTTACCCTCTAACACGGGCCAGTGCAAGCTGAACACAATCTGCTGTAAATTTCATCCTCACCTTTGTTTGTGAGAAAATGGGGTAAGCAATCTATAAGCTGATCAGTTATATTTTTAAGTTAATTTTTAATTATTAATAAATACGGTAGCTTTTAAATTTTTGAAAAATTTTTAAAAATGGATAAAGTTTATGTTTTAGAAAAAATTAATTAATTTATTAAATAAATAGTTTATTTATTATTTATACACTCCCTCTATTTCAAATTGACGTTTAAGTTTTTTTTTTAAAAAAGAAAAATAATAAAAAAATTAATCAATAAAATAATGTTACTAAACCATTTTACTATTTGTTATATTTTTTTTATTAAAACTTTAACACACGCTACTCGAATTTCACTATATTTATTGTTTATTTATGTCGAAATTATAAAAAAAATTAAAATCATAAAAGGCAGTGATATAAAAGAATACTTTCATTAAAACATTATTTAATTTAAAATGGAAAGAGCGTAATAATATAGTATATTTGTTTCATATAAAATGTAGTATTTTTATTACAAGTTATAAACATTTTAATATCAAATATGTGTTTAGTAAAATTAACAGATAAGCTGGCTACAAGTTGAAAAGTTAATTAGT